ATGGGCTTTTCAGGGATTGTTTTGCAGTGCACAACGCAGAATTGAATTCTGCAGTCGTCCCCACAAAGTTACAGAATTACGTTATAGCATTTCCTCAGCACAATGTGTAAGTTTGCTTTCCTATTATAAATATCAATATGAATATAAATATAAATAAAGAAGTCTTCTAATCACAAAGCTGTGCAAGTCATTTTATTTTTTTTTTAAAAAAAATATGACTCGGCAAATGTGCAGTTTCTGAAATTAAAGTAACTTAACAAATTAAGGTGTGGGTTCCCCCCCACCCCCACCCCGAGAGATTAAAGCCCTGAAAGAGGTCTCTGGGGCCATCCTTTTTCTCTGAGCAACAGATTTCTAGTGGTTTTTATTTTTATGTTTTTAGTGCTTCCAAAGCCAGGAGAATTTGTGATGGTGAGACAAAGAAATCTATTTGCACGCCAATGGAAGGGACTCCCCAGACACCCCTTTTCAATGTTCTTAATGCAGTGGTTCTCAACCTTTTTAATGCCGTGACCCCCAACCGGTCGTAAGTCGAGGACTACTCAACCGGTCATAAGTCGAGGACTACTCAACTGGTGCAGCACCGTTTGCAGAATGGGACTTTTGACGGGCTCAGCAGGGCAGAGACAGCCTGGACAATTCCTGTTGGCTTTTGAAAGCCAATAGAATTAGACTCTATTCAAGAGAGTCTATTCTATTGGCTTTCAAAAACCAATAGAATAAAAGGGAGTAGCCACAGCTAAGGAAAAGGGGGGAAAAAATGGCGGACTGCGTTGTTTGGAGACCCCCGTGAAATGGTCGCTTGACCCCAAATGGGGTCCTGACCCACAGCTTGAGAACCACTGTCTTAATGCGTTGGGGTCTAGTTTTGACTTGAGGCTGACCTGCACATTTTCAAGAAAAGAAGCCAGAAGGAAAACTAATGGCCCCCACATACTAGCCTAATTATTCCTGTGCAAAATGTCTACGGAGCGTCTCAATCATCCGGGTCATGGCTCTCCCCAAAGGTGCTTTTCCAAAAGTCGACTGGAATTTCTTGGGTTTTTCTTTGAAAATGTTTCACCCAAGACGTTTCTGAAGAACTGAAGAAGCTTCTTGAACGAGAAGCGAAACCTTTTCCAAGAAAAAAAAAAAAAAGTCCGGTCACCTTTTGGAAAAGGTGCAAAATGCACAACCTACAAACAATGCTATAGAATAGATAAAGCTTTGGTACCTGCTCAGTGATCATCGGAAATTCCTGGGGTCCCACTCGACTCTTTCCAGCTGCAGGAAGTTACTTCTACTTACCCTGATGATGGCTGGCAGACCATCAAATGCCAAAAAGGACCAGTCTTTCTCGTCTGTTATGGCGATGCCTCAGGGAAAGCTAGGAGGCTGTATAGTTATCTCCTGATGGTGTTATTCTCAACCATACAACCTACTACCTCAACATGAGGCACGCAGAGGTCCTAGCAGGCGGAGACGAGGAAGAAGAAGATGGTTCCCCAAGTGTCCTCAGGAGGAGACCGATGAATGAAGGCTGTCAGTTAGAAGATCCAGCTGCAAGAGACTCCAAGGTTTTCACGTAGCTCTGCTATATGACGGAGCTATTATTCAGACAACACACTTAAGCAGCCCGTAAGCCCCTGCAAACACATGGCCACCTCCTGATACTGTTGATTACTCTTTTTTTTGTAGTTCAGCTGTGTAAACCCTGCCCTGTTTGGACAGCCTAGTTCAATGCATTGGCTTAATTCAGTAACCAGAATAAGCGTGTTGTCTGAACATAACTGGAATAGTTAGTTTTGCCCAACGTTCAAGAAAACTTGCTGCCTAATGCTTCCAGCAGGTGAAACAGTGTCAAGGGGGTTTTGAATGAAAGGGAAACGCCCTACTTCTAGTTTGGGAGTTTTGATAATACACATACAAACATGTTAGTTTAAATGAGTATATATGTATCTTTGTGCATGGGCACATATACATACACACAGAAGCCTGCCTGCCTACCTGCCTGCCTGCCTTTCTCTCCCTTCCTCTCTCTCCTCCCCCATCTATCTATCTATCTATCTATCTATCTATCTATCTATCTATCTATCTATCTATCTATCTATCTATCTATCTATCTATCTATCTATTGTTTTATCACTGCAGTCTTCTAGTCATCCACAAAATAAGAGCAATGAAGGCTTTATATTGTTTTATATTCTTCACCTCCCAGAACTGTGATGGAATGGGGGTGGCCTATAAATTAATTTAATAATACACAACTAGATTAAAATACATTTGATAAAGTCTTTATAAAATCTGTGCCGTCAGAAGACTTGGCACTTTGTATCTCTGCTCGCCTCTACCTGCCAGCAGTGAGTAACTGCAGGATTAACCAGGGGTCCTACAGCACCTCTGCGCCTCCATACAGAGGTCTCCGCCCACTGGCAGAACAGGGATTATTGCTGGCTCAAGAAAGGAAGACCCCTGGCAGGGCCACACAGACCCACTTGGAGCGAAGCGGGCTAGAAAACATCAGTAAGAAATAAAATCAATATAATGGGGATTCTGTAACCTTTACAATGTATGCCGCTTGGTAACTTTTAAAGACTTGGGGACTTCAGCAACCAGCATTCGCCAACCAGCATGTCTGGCTGAGGAATTCTGGGCACTGAAGTTCACAAGTTGCCAACTTTGGAGACCCCTGCTGTAGGGCACTGCAGGCATCTCTCCCACTAGCCACCCCCTCCCTCCTGTTGCTAAAGCATCCCCTTTCAGCAAGCCTCACCTGCCTTTGGAATCACCTTTTTTCAGGCCTCTAGTTATTCTTTTTTTTTTTTTTTTTTTTTAAAAAGCTGCAATACTGAGAAAATCAGTGGAACCCGTCGATTGCTCCTGCAGGTTTTCAGGCGCCTTCCGACGAAGGCTGGAAAGCAAAGGAGGATGTAGAGCAGTGGTTCTCAACCTTTCTAATGCCGCGACCCCATAATACAGTTCCCCATGTTGTGGTGACCCCCAACCACCTATACATCACCGGGTGCCAGGGGCGTGGCCAAAGAAAAGGAGGAAAAAAATGGTGGACAGCCTTGTTAGGCGACCCCCGTGAAATGGTCGTTCGACCCCAAATGGGATCCCGACCCACAGGTTGAGAACCACTGATGTAGAGGCAGCCAGAAAAGCGGAGCTCTTTGTCAAATTTTAGTGCAGGGGCGTCAAACTCAACTTCATTGAGGGCTACATCAGCATTGCGGTTGCCCTCAGGGGGCCGGGTGGGTGTGGCCAGGGTGGGTGTGGCTGACTGGTTGGGCGTAGATGGAGTGGGTGTGGCCGACTGCATCATGCGTGTCAAGGGTGCCTGTGGGGGCCTGGGCAAGAGTGGGACAGATCTGAGGGTCTTTGACAGAAAGGGGTGGGACCAGGGCAGAGCCCATCAAGCCATACATGCGAAGTAGGCGAGAGCCATTTGCTGGCCACTTCCAGGCGATGGTGCATTTCTTCCTTCCTCACAAAGGGTGACCCCTCCCCAGCATGCACCCAGGGGGTGGGGCCGACGTGGCAGGGGCTGGTTCCTCGCTCTTTCTGGACGGCCTTGTGGAGCTAAGACTGAATGCCGTTCAGCATAGATGGCCACCACAAAATTCTACATGGGCTCCCGGCTGGCCTGGGCCAGGGCCAAGGCAGCGGGGGCCGTTCCCTCACTGTTTCCAGGATGGTTTTGCGGGCCACATGAAACCACTTCGCGGGCCCATCCGGCCCCCCGGCCCTTGTGTTTGACATGTCTGTTTTAGTGGAACTGATGCTTACGCTTGTACACCAGAGAGCAGGTCCGGCGTAGTAACAGCACATCAGGAGAACTTGGCCAAGGTCGACACATACCCACAGACTCGAGCTTGTGTGAAGCAGTGGTACCGCAAGTTCGGATCTACGGGTTTATGGCAACCGGCAAAACCACCGCAGCAGATGAGTGGAAGGTCGGTGGGGAAGAGAAGAGTCACCCAGCTGGTGATGTTATCTTGACCCCTGCAGGTGCCAAGGAGATAACTATGCACAGAGGAGAAGCAACGAAAGCTGGAATGCTGGGGGAGGGAAAACACAGACAGGCATGGGGAGGAATGAAAAATGAGAGGGAAGGAAAACCACATTCAAGGAAAGAGAGGGTTGAAGCTCAGCCCTTTGGCTGAAGATTAGCTGATCCAGGACAGGTCAGGGCCTGGCTGGGAGAATGGAGCAGCCGGCTTTTGTTCCTGGCTAGTCTGAAAGTTGCCTGGATCTTGGCTCAGGAGCTCTTGGGAGCTCATTGTCCACTGACCTGAACAAGGTCGCTTCAGAACAGAAGACCTGACCTTTGAGATTCCTGTGGATCCAGTTTAAATCACCAAGATCCTAAGCCTTCGTAGGTTGCTTTGGTTACAAGTCAAGCTCTATCCTTGCTTCAGTTTGCATTGGTCTGTGAGCTTTTGATTAGGTCAGGGGTAGGCAACCTTGGCTCTTTTATGACTCGTGGACTTCAACTCCCAGAAGTCCTGAGGCTGGCCTAGCTTATGGGAAATCGCTCCCGTTTCTGATTGATTTCACTGCACCTCCCCCCCCCCCAAAAGCGTTTTTCATTGTGGAAATCATCCCATAGCAGGGTTTGATTGTTTGAGATCTTCAAGGGCAGGGGAAGGCAACCTTGGCTCTTTGATGACTTGTGGACTTCAACTCCCAGAATTCTGGGAGTTGATGTCCATGAGTCATCAAAGAGCCAAGGTTGCCTACCCCTGGATTAGGTCTAGGACAGTGATGGCGAACCTTTTAGAGACCGAGTGCCCAAACTGCAACTCAAAACCCACTTACAGTGTATGTATCATTGGGTGCCGGGTGGGCGTGGCCCATTGAGTGGACGTGGCTTCGGTGGTAACAGCAGACTGGGTGGGACTAAAAAGTTCAATCAATCAATTCCAACTTTGAAGATCTTTTTTTTTCCCCCCGCGAGAAGTTGAAATTGATTGATTGCTTTTTTTTTTTTTTTTGCACACGGCGGCGGAGGCCTAAAGCAAAAAGGTTTTATAAAACAGGGCTGAAGGCCCAGGATTGGGGTGACGGCGCGCGTGCCCACAGAGAGGGCTCTGCGTGCCACCTGTAGCAACACGTACCATAGGTTCGCCACCACGGGTCTAGGACCTTCATTGATCGGTCTGTGAGACACACCTGACCTCTTCCAAAAATGAGAATTTATCCAGAGTCCTCAAGCCTCCGAGAGCCGCTCTTTCTTCTCTCCAAATTAGTCCCTTCCTTCCTTCCTTTCTTCCTTCCTTCCTTTCCTTCCTTCCTTCCTTCCTTCCTTCCTTCCTTCCTTCCTTCCTTCTTCCTCCCATTCCTATTTGCAACCCTTGCTTAGTCCAAACAGGCAACCATCCTTTGGAAACTGCCTCCATGCATCTGCATAACTGCATACATGTATGCACACACATATCCTGCATGTGTCCGGCTGCAGATGTGCAAGGCATGTACCACTGCAGGTGTTGGGTGACGTGTGCAACTGCAGGTGTGCAAGGTGTGTGTGCCATTGCAGGTGTGGACGGCATGTGTGCAACTGCAGGCATGCAAGGCACACGCCACTGCAGGTGTGACACGTGCACCACTGCAGGCATGTGTGGTATGTGTACCATTGCAGTGGCATATATGCAACTACAGGTGTGCAAGAGATATGTACTAAAAGTGTGAGTGGCATGTGGCGACTGCAGATGTGCAAGGCACACACCACATTGCTGGCTGTGGAATTCTGGGGGTTGAAGTCCACATGCCTTAAAATTGTCAAGGTTGAGAAACACTGCGGTAGTCGAAATGCAAAGCCGAATGGTTGAAAAATAAGCTTTTTGGGGAAAATGCACAAGAGGGCGCTCTCGCACCGCCAGCATTTTGCTCTGGGTAAGGACATTGTAAGTTTAACCACGTAAAAGCAAAGAGAGGCACTTGCTGTGCTTTGAAAAATCCCTGGCAATACAAAGGCAGTGGCTCGATGCTGGCTTAGTGCTGCTACGTTTAGCGTCAACATTTCTGCGTGACCTACCCTGCACCCCATTCTCCCCATCTCCCAGGGGGCTACCTGTCACCCATACGTTATTTTGGGAGTGGTGGGGGGGGGGAGAGAAAAGCCCAGGACTTTGATCTAAAACGCTCACCTGAAAACATTTCCAGAAAAATCCATTTGCACAGATTTGATTTCAGTTTCTTTCTTTCTTTCTTTCTTTCTTTCTTTCTTTCTTTCTTTCTTTCTTTCTTTCTTTCTTTCTTTCTTTCTTTCTTTCTTTCCCCCTGGGAAAAACAGAACAGAGAGGATTGACAGTGACAAAATTTAGGGATGTTTAATTCCCATGAATAGGCAGAACTTGCACGCCGCAGGCTTACAGTGGGTATTGATCCTATCTCTCTGCCTATTCCTAATTGCATTTACATAGAAGCAGAGCCAAGATGATGAGCTGGAGATTTGACTCAGAAGTACGAGAAATGCTGCGCTTGGCTTGGAAAAAAGCAAGACGCCATTTTACCGGAGGAAGTCGTGGACCTCATGAGGAGACTGGGCCTCGTGAAGGCCGCTTGGCTAAAAACCGACGGGAACTTCTTGGTTTTTGTCCCAATCAAGGCTTCTTTTGTGAGTCAGACTAGCCCACAAATAAGCACCTTAAACTCCCAAAGAGGTTAGCAAAACACAATTGTTCTTTCTAAGTGAGACAGGCTAATGCTAGGCAAATAAACCATACTGGCCTAGTTCTCACGACCTACAAAGACAATAGCTGAATTTCCCCTCCCATGTTGAAGCACAACTTGCCCGTTCCCCATTTTAATTAGCTTGGTTCAAGCTTGTTGGGCGAACCCACCCACCGCTGTGTAGGCAGGGCAGCAATGACTTCAGTTCAATTTCCAAATCACAGGAAGTCATAATTCTACATTATTCTGAGTCAGACTCTCTGTCTCGAGCACTGGGTCCCATTCTAGGCACCACACCTTCAGAATTCAGACAAATTGAAACAAGCCAGGGATATCATCATCATCAGGGCATCACAAACCAACTCCTCTTTTCAACTTCTTCTACGCCTCTCCAAATCTTCTACGGTCCTATACAGGTGATCCTCAACTCACAACAGTTGACTTAGTGACCGTTCAAAGCAGGGGTCTTCAAACGTGGCCCTTTTATGACTTGTGGACTTCAACTCCCAGGATTCCACAGCCAGGCACACTGGCTGAGGAATCCTGGGACTTGAAGTCCACAAGTCATAAAAGGGCCACGTTTGAAGACCCCCCTGGTTCAACGTTACAACGGCACTGGAAAAAGCGACTTATGACTGTTTTTCACACTTAACGACTGCTGCAGCATCCCCATGGTGAGATGATCAAAATTTGGACACTTGGCAACTGATTCATATTTATGACAATTGCAGTGTCCCGGGGTCATGGGATCATCCTTTATGATCTTCTGACAAGCAAAGTCAGTGAAGAAACCAGATTCACTTAACAAACAACTGCAGTGATTTACTTAACAACTGGGTCAAGACAGGTGGTAAAATGGAGCAAAACACAGAAACTTTGGGCTCAGTTGTGGTCATAAGTCAAGGACTACCTATAGCATTCCACTAGATTTCTATAATCCTATAATGAGCGATGGAAAGAATTCGGCATATGCTACCTTGCGAAGAAAAGAATGAAGTACAGTATTCCAAATATTGGAAAGGGTGACATACAGAAGAAAATCAAGATTTATCATCTTTCATTCCCGAGTCCTGAATAAAAGAGAAATGGGTTTAAGTTTTAGGAAAGCAGATCCAGGGGACGTTTTTTTTTTTTAAAAAAAGGTTCCTAACAATAAGAACAGTTCAACAGTGGAAAATAATGGCTCAAGTGGAGGTGGGTTCCACTGGACACGTTCAAGCTTAAGTTAGCTAGTTGTTGGTTGGGGTTGGTTTGATTTGGTTTCCTGCCCTGAGAAAGAGGGTTGGTCTCAACGGCCGCTTTCCACGACTAAGGAACAACTAATTCTTCCTGTTCTAGCTTTCAAGACGTACAAGATGACTTACTTCTATTCCAACTCATGTATTCCAACTGGACTAAGGCACTTCAGTAGTGCCTTCATTCCTCTTACTGTGGAGAAGGACTAAGAGTCATTTCTACCCATTAAAATCAGTACCAGTGAGTGAAGGAGCTCTAGACCAGTGGTTCTCAACCTTTTTATGCCGCGACCCCCAACCGGTCGTAAGTCGAGGACTACTCAACCGGTCGTAAGTCGAGGACTATTCAACTGGTGCAGCACCGTTTGCAGAATGGGACTTTTGGCGGGCTCAGCAGGGCAGAGACAGCCTGGACAATTCCTATTGGCTTTTGAAAGCCAATAGAATTAGACTCTATTCAAGAGAGTCTATTCTATTGGCTTTCAAAAGCCAATAGAATAAAAGTGAGTAGCACAGCTAAGGAAAAGGGGGGAAAAAATGGCAGACTGCGTTGTTTGGCGACCCCTGTGAAATGGTCGTTCAACCCCAAATGGGGTCCCGACCCACAGGTTGAGAACCACTGCTCTAGACCAGTGGTTCTCAACCTGTGGGTCGGGACCCCATTTGGGGTCGAATGACCATTTCACGGGGGTCACCAAACCATGCTGTCCGCCATTTTTTCCTTTTTCCCTAGCTGTCCTACTCCCTCTTATTGGTGGCCACACCCACTTGGGGGTCACCACAACATGGGGAACTGTATTATGGGGTCACGGCATTAGAAAGGTTGAGAATCACTGCTCTAGACATTCCCGTATAAAAAAACATTGGCTTGATCTGCCCCCATGACTTAGCATTGAACTTATATTGCGATTTGGCCATGATAATAAATAATAATAGACTTGGAAGGGACCTTGGAGGTTTTCTAATCCAATCCCCTGTCCAGGCAGGAAATCCTGTAACATTTCAGATAAACGGTTGTCCTCTCTCTTCTTAAAAAAAAAACAACCAATATTGGAGCACCCATAATTTCTGGAGGCAAGTCGTTTCACTGGTTAATTGTTGTCACAGTCAGCAAATTTCTCTTTAGTTCTAGGTTGCTTCTCTCCTTGATTAGTTTCCATCCAGTGCTTCTTGTCCTGCCTTCAGGTGCTTTGGAAAATAGCTTGACTCCCTCTTCTTTGGGGCAGCCCCTGAGATATTGGAACATTGCTATCATGTCAGCCCTTGGTCCTTCTCTTCATTAAACTAGACATGCCCAATTCCTGCAATCGTTCTTTGTATGTTTTAGCCTCCAGTCCCCTAATCATCTTTGTTGCTCTTCTCTGCACTCTTTCTAGAGTCTCAACATCTAAATCCACTGTGGCAGTATATTATTTAACACCAAACCACGGCTCCTGCAGAGGTTCAGAAAGGACAACAGGGAGGAAATGAGTTCTGCAGATGGATTTTCTGGGAATTTTGATCAGCCGATACCAGAAACAGGATATTGGACTTCATAAACCTTGGGAATGATCTTCAGAAATTCCCTTTAAGCCAGCTGTTCTTATTTGGCTCACCAAGGACACCAGAGGCATTAATTCAGGGGTGGGCAACCTTGGCTCTTTTATGACTCAAGGACTTCAACTCCCAGAATTCCTGAGCCAGCCATGCTGAGGGGAAAGGGAGAGGTTTCCAAGCTGAGCCATGCTGTCTCAGGAATTCTGGGACTTGAAGTCCACAAGTCATAAAGCGGCCTAGGCCTAGGTAGGCAACCTTGGCTCTTTTATGACTGGTGGACTTCAACTCCCAGAATTCCTGAGCCAGCAATGCTGAGGAGAAATGGAGAGGATTCCATACTGAGCCATGCTGGCTCAGGAATTCTGAGAGTTGAAGTCCACGAGTCATAAAAGAGCCAAGGTTGACTACCCCTGCACTAACTCAAAGTAGTTAATTATGAAAAGAGTGGTTAACTCCTCATTCTTGATAGTCTTACTAACTCGAGCAATTTGGAATAGAGGCTCACCTATGTTTTCAGGCAAAAGAAAAAAGAAAGGTTTGATTTATTATCGGGTATAACAGGAAGCCGTGAATCAACCGAAATATGAAAATAATATTTACAAGGTGGGTGGGCTTTTATAGTCAGCAGATAAATGTAATCTTCATAGCGTATATCCTATAATAGGACCTATGATCGCAATCATAAAGGTGCTGAGCTGAATGATACAGTGAAAAATATTGGTCTAAAGCAGCAAGTGAAACATTTAAATGCACTCCTTTGTCCTGTTTAACACTGAGTACACATTTTGTTTTTTTTGGGGGGGGGGGGACTAAAGCCTACAGAAATGACTGGTTTGCTACTGCTCAGAACAGAAAGAGCGAAAAGTGTTAAGTCAGTGGTTCTCAACCTGTGGGTCGGGACCCCATTTGGGGTCGAACGACCATTTCACGGGGGTCGCCAAACAACGCAGTCCGCCATTTTTTTCCCCTTTTCCTTAGCTGTGCTACTCCCTTCTATTCTATTGGCTTTTGAAAGCCAATAGAATAGACTCTCTTGAATAGAGTCTAATTCTATTGGCTTTCAAAAGCCAATAGGAATTGTCCAGGCTGTCTCTGCCCTGCGGAGCCCGCCAAAAGTCCCATTCTGCAAACGGTGCTGCACCAGTTGAGTAGTCCTCGACTTACGGCCGGTTGAGTAGTCCTCGACTTACAACCGGTTGGGGGGTCACGGCATTAAAAAGGTTGAGAACCACTGTGTTAAGTCCAATGCAGTGCACCATTCCCTGGTGTTATAAACATAAAACAAGCCTGGCTTGATATGAGCAGGTAGCCCATCTGGTCCAAGGGGTTTTGGGAAATCTTGAAAAGATGAGGCAAGTCACTAATAGGCTTTTGTTAAAGACAGAGCTGAAACTAGAATAACTTCCCCCCAAGATGGTGCTTTCCAAGTGTACTTGACTTCAAGTCACATCTTTCCAAAACAGCCTGGCCAGAAAGAGGTCAACTCCAACATCTAGAGATCTTCCAAGTGGGAAAGTCTATTTGAAAACCAGTGCTTGGGGGAGACCATTCTCAGATGACACCAAGTTAACATCAGACCAACAATCAAAAAGTAAACAATACCCAATCAAGGAACAGCCAAACAAGCTAACATTTAAACAACCCACCCAAAGAATTACCAAGATCACCCCCACCAACACTGACAGGGCAAGCCACTAGAACAGTGATGGCGAACCTTTTGGAGCAGTGGTTCTTAACCTTTTTGAACGAATCGCCCCCTTGAGCCAATGAGGAAGTTGTCATCGCCCCCCCTCCCCCAACATCACCTCTCAGTCACAACATAGGAAATAATTCTTCCATTTATGCAAACACTTTTTTTGTTTTCTTTAAAATTGTCATCAGGACATATCGATGCAAATAATTTATTTCCAATCTTTTCCCCATATCTCCCATATTCTGGCCAATGGCGCGCCACTGTATGGGTAGAGGCTGCTGCGCAACGCGCATGAAGATAAGCAATGCGTCTTCACATATGTACGGCGTTCTGTACTGAAGCTAGCTGGAGGAACATTTGAAAACACAATTCAATTCGATCTGATGTTTTTGTACGACAGATATACAGCGATTCACTGTACGAAAAAGTCTCAAAAGTGTCCCCAAAACTTCTCACTCCATCGCCCCCATATTGCCCCCTTTTTATTCCTTCGCCCCCGCGTCACCCCTTTTCATTCCATCGCCCCCCTGAAAAATGAAATCGCCCCCTGGGGGGCAATATCGCCCAAGTTAAGAACCACTGTTTTAGAGACCAAGTGTCGAAAAACCGCCCTGCCCCACCCACAGAGCCACCCACCACCTCCACGGCCCGCTGCAGATCGCCAAGGCAGCCCTGCAGCGCCATGACAACCACATCCTCCGCCTATGCCCCGCAGTATCTGCGCGCAACAGGGTGCGAGGGCGGAATCTTGTCCCTACTGCCCAACTGCCATGTCCTTGGCTGCGCTGCTCCGTGTGGGCTGCACCTGGGGGCGACTCTCCTCCGGGGGGGCTGCTGGTGAGGAGGGGGCACGGGGGGAGGTAGGGCTGGGGCAATGGTGTGTGTGCCTTCTGAGTGCCGCCTCTGGCACCCATGCCGTAGGTTCGCCACCACTGCACTAGAATATAAATCGAGAGCAAACCCCACTCCTTAATTAGCACTGATGATGTTACCTAGTTTGGGTAATGAAACGTCTGCAAGAAAACAACCAAACACAGCCCTCCTCAGTCTCAGATAATTTGCCTTCAGTAAATCCCCAGGAAATGACACCACTATATTGTCACAGAGAGGCTGGGAGGGATGGGAGTTGTAGTCCAACACATCCCCCTCCCCCCCCAAAGGCACTAGTTTGGGGAAGACTGGCACGAATCCTAACTTGGTCAAGGCCTGGGAAGTTTTGGGTTTGAAAGATGAAAGGGAAAATATATAAATATATAATGCCCTAGCCTAGCCACATGAACTTCCAATGCAGGAAAGTAGGAGGCTGTGGGCACACTGGACTGGAATTGTGGTGTAGCGATTAGTGTAGTGCAGGAGTAGGCGACCTGGGCTCTTTTATGACTCGTGGACTTCAACTCCCAGAATTCCTGAGCCAGCCGTGCTGAGGGGAAAGGGAGAGGTTTCCATGCTGAGTCATGCTGGCTCAAGAATTCTGAGAGTTGAAGTCCACGAGTCATAAAAAAGCCAAGGTTGCCTAACCCTGGTGTAGTGGTTGGATGGGACCAGGGACCCTGGTGATTTTGGGAGAGCCACTCCCTCTCTCAGCTCATTAACTCACAGAGGAGGAAAAATTGAACAAGTGTGTCTTATTTATGTTGCCGTAAGCTCCTAAAGCAGGGGTGGGGAATGATGGCCCTTTTATGACTTGTGGACTTCAGCTCCAAGAATTCCTGAGCCAGCATGGCTGGCTCAGGAATTCTGGGAGTTGAAGTCCACAAGTCATCAAGGGGCCATGGTTCCCCACCTCTGTTCTAAAGGAATGGTGATATATATATATATATATCCAACAAAGAAAAGTAAATCTTTCTTTACATGGTGCTACCTTGATGTACCCCACCTGACAAAAGAGAATATTAGGCAGAGAAGATGGAGAAGTCCAATCACCAAGTCAGAATATCTTTAAAACAGAGCCGTGGTGGCACAGTAGTTAGAAGGCAGTACTGCAGACGAACTCTGCCCACAGTCAGGAGTTCAATCCTGACCAGCTCAAGGTTGGACTCAGCCTTCCATCCTTCCGAAGTCGGTAAAATGAGGACCCAGATTTTGGGGGGGCAATAGGCTGACTCTGTAAACCGCTTAGAGAGGGCTGTAAAGCACTATGAAGCAGTATATAAGTCTAAGTGCTATTGTAATTAAATGTGCAAAATGTGGTGTCAACGATGATTAAAATTGTAAGAAATCTTACCTCTACGCCATTTTTTGTCTTCCAGGCGGCTCAGTTGCTAATGGATACTTTGCTTTCCAACCTATAATAACAAAAATAATAATGACATTAGGAGGAGAAGTTTTGAAAAGAAACTGCCCAACTGAATAATAAAGAAAACCCCAGGTTAATCCATTTCCAATCTTGATATTATGCATCTGGAGTCTAGACCAGGTTTTTTTCAAGCATTTTTCAGAACTTGGGACCTGTTTTTTTTTTTAAAATTAATGCTAAATTTCAGAATCCAAGACCAAGAACAAAATTCTAGTGATAGAAAATTAAGCTTTTTTGAAGAGAAGTTTTTTTTTGTTTTATTCTTAGGAGCACAGTTTGAAAAAAACCTCAGCCTACTCCGCTTGAGTCTCACACAGAACACAGACAACAGGGTCATAATTCTTTAAATATTCCAACTTTCACAGGGATTAGTTTGGTACAAAAACAGAAGCAAAAGGAAAAAGACCTAACATCATCTGGCTCTTCTTAAATTATGTCCATCTTCCTGGCATCTTCCCACCTCCACGGCAATCAAATTGCAAAAAATTGTGGGAACCCCACTCACAACCTTGTCAGGGAGCAGGCAACTGACCTTAAGACACCAGCACACTTTAAAGATGAGCAGGAATTGGAATCTGCATTTCTCACTCCAACCCAACACCCTAGCTGTTATAATTTCACCGGGCTTCGGGGCTGGTTGCAATTAGTCAATGTGTGTGTGTACGGAGGGTGAGATTGGTGTGTGGACTGAGACAATTAAGAGGTTCTTAACAACATAGACAACAACCCCCCCAAGAAGCAAATAGCTGAAACCAGAGATGATGAGTTTGTTATGGGGTTTGGAGAATCTACTTAACAGAACAACAGAGGGACCTTGGAGGTCTTCTAGTCCACCCCCCTGCTCAAGCAGGAGATTCTATACCATTCCAGACAAGTGGCTATCCAATCTCGTCCTAAAGCTTCCAGCAAGGGAGCACCCATGACTTATGGAGTTAAACCGTTCCACTGGTTGTTTTCACTGTTAGGAAGTTTCTCCTCAGTTCTAGGTTGGTTCTCTCCTTGATTAGTTTTCATCCAGTGTTTCTGGTTTTGCCTTCTGGTGCTTTGGAAAATTCACAGGAGTCACCCATGAATACCTGAAGTTTGGGATAGCTTGGTCTTCACAGCAGGCTCCATTCTGATGGTTTTTCTGAGGCAGAGGTCCAAGAGATATGTAAGTCTCCCTTTGTGGCTCTCTTGATAAGACAGCTTAGCAAGTTGCTGCACTAATAGAAATCTGGGCAAAAAGGATCTCTCTTTTGGTTGGCAGGTGCCATGAGAATATCACGGTCTAAGGGTAACTAGGGTTCCCTGAAGTAGGGAGTGTTCCTTTAAACCATAGAGGAAGAAGCACAGGTGAATTGAGTTGGAAGCAAAAATGGATAGCTCCCTCATCCCGTCCACCCTCTGTGGTTGAAACTCATGATGGACGTGGACATTTCTTCTCAGGCCAAATCCTGGAAGAATTTCAAGAGAAAGGAATTTTTTTATCAGATTAGCTCATTATCTAAATGCAGGAGTTTGTGAGCAAGAGTCTTCATTCTCTTTTGGTATATATAGCATTTTCTCGACGTGGGGGACAATTTCCTCATCAGAATATGTGTGGGCAAAGATATCCTGGAATTCCACGGAGGCAACTCTAGGCGAAGGTACCATACGAAGTGACTCAGTATAACCACCCCCTTTTCAGGAAATCTTTATGGATTTTTCATTGCCACCAACACTTCTTCGAATGGATCTTATTGTGGACGGTGAAAGATGGAACCAGAGGAGCGTCACATTTTTGCAGTATGTATTTCTGCCCCACCCTTTCAGCCCTGCCCTTACTCTCCCATAGCAGTTAGGAATTCTTCTATCTAAACGTTGGAGCTGACTCTTAACAACTACAAAGAAAAGGTCTTCTCCAGAATGATCTGCCTCCTTCAGCTCTTCCGAGAGAGTACCCATCATTGCTGTAACCATCTCCGTTCACTTCGCTGATGACTCTCCTCTGCTCTTTCTTTCTGCCTTTCTCAGCATAGTGGACTTCTTGAGGGAGCCTCCTGGCTCTTCACGTGATGGGCTCCAAGTAGGGCAGTTTGAAGAACGGCGAAGGCTTGCAGATCACAAATACCAGAAAGGATTGAAGTACGGTCAATGAGCAGCTAGTGACGGACTCGCACATTCTTAACCTGCTTAGTTCAAGTCCGAAGGGCTGCATTCACACACGTTAAGCTGGGCTAACGTAACCATGGTTTGTAACGGCCTAGCACACAGCACAAACCCAGCCCATTTGATTGGTTTATGACGCAATTATTGGGCTAACCCAGAAAACGGTTTAGGTTAATAGCCAGGTGAGTTCCTGCACATGAAAAGCAAAGATAGGAATGGGAGAAATAAAAGTGAGACATACCTCTTTCTCTGCCTCTGCCTCTTTCTTTCTTTCTCTCTCTCTGCTTTCCACTTCCACCTTTCAAGAGTCAAGATGGGGTTTTTAAAGCTACCGCTTGGGAAGGCGTCCTCATCAGAGTTGGCTGCATTGGGGGAAAGGCAAGGAAGCCAAAACGGTGGAATGGCTCTATTCTGTGGAGCATCCCGGGTGCAGGTGGCCGAGAAAACAGAGCCAGCAACCCCGGGAAGGTGGAAGAAGAAGGCAGACAGCCATAATGGTGGCCTGGGAGGGGGCGGGAGTGCGATGCAGTGTGGTGCAAGGAGCAAAAGACCGAGGCAGACAATGGCGAGGAGACAGGGACGTGAGAGCAGAGGAATACTGAGATCTGGGCACGGTGCCACCTCCCTCCCTCAGGCACTGCTGCATCAGTCCGGGGCTGAAGAGGAGAATGCAATATGGATGCAGGCTGGCTGGAAAGGAAGGGGGCCTCTCTGCAAGGTTTGGTGGGGGGGGGGAAAAGAAAGGAAAGCAAGGAGAAACTGGGTGAGCCAGTCAGCCTCTGAGAGCAATGGAGGAATGGGGGGGGGGAAAAGGGGGGCAAAATCGCCCAGGAAGCAGAAGTAGAACACGGGAGCAGAAAAGAGAGAGGGAAGGAGGAGAGGCAACCTGGCACCAGCTACACCTCTGAAAATTGCAGACAGTAGGAACATGGGGGAAAGAGGCAATAGCCCAACTCTCTTCCACACCCTCTACCAGGGTGGTTGGGCAATTCCCCGGGGTTGTCTGGATCGTTTTCTTCCCACTTCAGGACATAGGCTGGCACAGCCGGGTGCATTACCATGGTTACCTGCTGCCATTGTCTGGCCTTTGGGTCAGTGCCCGTCTTCCATTCCTCCTCCTCCCCCCCCCGCGACTTCCCTTCTTTTCCTGTCTCGCTCTCTCGCTCTGGCCTCTAATGAATTCACATCACGCTGTATTGCGGTATGCTGTGCCAACTTGCCCGCCAGCAGGCTGGCCCCCAGAGTGCCAGCCAGCCAGCCAACCCTCTGCTCCCACCTGCCTGCCTGCCAGCCCTTCTCCGTTGGCCAACCTGGCCTCAAAATGCTGGGGATGAGCAGCAGGGGAGCTGTGCTCCTTGCCTGTATTGTTATCTGCCAAAACCTGTGCCAGCCTTTAAGTGCCAGGCTTGCCTCTCCCGAGGCCCCCAGGCCCCGTCTTCCTATTTTCTGATTCCAACCTTTATTCAGACAACCTCCCAATTCCGCACCCCAGCCCCCCAGGCCCCCCCCCAGCCCCCATTAATTGCCAGCTGCCACCAGGGCACCAGCCTGCTGTTCTGACCTTCTCACCCATCCAGACAAAGCGACTTGAGTTCGTGGGGGCCAGCCAAAATTCACACACACACCCCGCCTGAAAACCAAAATGCAATTTAGATCTGGGAGGGTCCCTGCCAAACCTGCTCCCGAGGTCCCAACACAATGTGTTGCCCCCCTCTGCCAACTTTTGCGTCTTCTGCCTCAGCTGCAGAAAGGATCACCCCCCCCCCTGGCTTACTTTTAATAACCAGGCGGGGAAACAGGAAGATGCCAACGGTCGGGACAGGTTGGCAGGTTGTGACCTCTGGATGGCTTTCTAAGCCGGTTTTGGTGGAGGGAGGGTATAAAAAAAAGCCCAATAGCCTCTGACTCTCACCACCCTATCCCTGAAATGGGCCCTCTGGAGCCACCTGGCAGCCATGTTCTTCCAGACCCCTAACTTGTTTTTTTTTTCTCCCTTCCTTGGAGGGCAGACTAGCTGGAACTGAGAGACCTCAAGCCCCTGAGTTATTCCCCATCCCACCTACCCCCGGCAATTGCTTGGTATCGCTTTATTCTTCTCCCACTTGTGTGGGGGGGAGGGGACGCTCCCCTTTGCCCCCAGCTGGCACCCGAAGCCTGGCCTGAAATCTGTGCCCATCCTCACGGGCGAGTCCCAAAGGTGTTGGCCAAACTCAATTTCGGCCACAGTGGAGCCTTCTAAGATCGCCACCTGACCTGGCTGTCTGCGCCCCCCGCCCCCCCCTTTCCTACCCTCCACCCCACCCCACCCCCATTCCTTCTCCCATCGCTGTCTCCCTCACCCTTTAATGAAAGTGAAACGGCAGTCTGGCTGCCAAGGGAACCTGGGTCGCTAGGCAACGACCGCCTAGGCCTTGGCATCGTGCCAACTCACCCTCTCTGTGCTGATCCATTGCCTATGGCACCCGCCAGCTCCAGCATGGCTCCTCTCAATGTTGCGAGAGTCTTTCTCCCGCTCAGGCCTGACCCACGGCAGCTCCCCTCCCTCCCGGCCTCCTTCCCTCCCTGCAGCCCTCTCTCTTCTTCTTCTCCCCACCTGATCTGCCAGGGTCAGTCCACCCGCCCGCCCGCCTCCTTCTCCCCCCCCTTCTCTTGTGCTTTCGCCCTGGCAGAAAATCAATTAATAACAATAAGAACAACAACAACAACAACAAGGCTGTAAGGCTCATAAGGAGGATATGAAAAAAAAAATGCATTCCAAAACAACTCGGCTTTCAGGAGGAGAAAGGCAAAGAGAAATGGAGAATGCCAAAGGCAGCAGCAACATGGGGGGGGGGGGAAAGCCCTCCGAACAGAGCGGCG